GGTCCTGTAGCACAGCTAGGGGTGAGAAATGACCCGATCCGAATCCCAAACCTGAATTTCGGATACTATTCGGTTCCGGGTATAGATTCAAGAATTGGATTCGAAATTCAGATCTGGATCCAAATAAAAATTCGGATCGGATCCGGTATAGGTGAATCCGACCTGGTTCTGGATCCAACCCCATTTTTTTAAAATAGTATATTTTTATTTTATATATATGCATAAATAAGTTATAATCTATATATAATATATGACAATTTTAAATTTTAGAAGGTCTAATCCAAATCAGGATCCGGATCTTATATATAATTTGGATTCGGATCCAGTATCCAAATATTTAGGATCCGATCCGATCCGGATCCAAATCCAATGTGTCCTACTCGGATCCGAATCCGGATCTAGGTGGATCCAGACCTGATCCGGATTATTCTCACCCCTAAACACGGTACTGTAGCATGTTATTGTAGCATAGTACTATAGAGTCGATTTTTGTGCCCTAGATCGACAACCATGCCTCCACGTAGAGGAAAAGGAGGAAAAGCGACAACCATAGAGGCATTTGATGCTAGTTTGAGAGAAGTGATTGTAGATCTGAGAAGATAAGTCAAAACCCTAGCTTTGTGTTTCATGTAGATGGAAGCCTCATCTCAGAAGTATGAGATCAAGGCAGATGATGCATTAAAAAATCCTTCCATGATCAAGCTCCATGGAAAGAGGTAGCTGATCATACGGATATGGATAATAGGCGGTGGGAAACTGCTCTCAAGGTTGAGATCCCGGAGTTTTATAATGACGATAGCAAGCATTCTTTCGAAGGTGATCCTGTTTTTTATGATTATAGTGATAAAGAGGACTTCGAAGTGACCTATAATGATCATGGGGACTTGCAACCAAACTTTGATGTGGACCCTGATGAGGAGTCGAGTTCGGAAGAATCAATTGATGATTAAGAAGAAGAAGTTGGTGACCCTACCTTTGATGAAAAGAAATAAGGTCCTATCTTCAATGAACAACTTGCTATTAGCCAGGAAGATAATGGTGCTGATGATGTTTATAATGGTGAAGATGGGGGTGATTGCGGTGAGCTATTGCTTTGTTTTGGGTGGAAAGCCCCAACAACAACTCACCAAGTTCTAATGGAAAAAGCTCATGGCTGCAATGCATTCATCTTAACCCATTTCAAAGTTTGTAAGCGAGTTATCTCAGGTATGTTCATGGACAATAATACTATGCATATGTGCTACAAATGTTACAACTTTCCATGCCAATAAAACATGAACGTGATGGATAAGGTTTCAATCAGAGATGCATCGCCAGCATAGGATTTTTGAAGTTGGAGATTTGGTGTGGGCAGTCTTAACTACGGATAGATTTCCAGCTGGGGAATATCATAAGTTAAGCCAGCGCAAGATTGGACCGTGTGAAGTGGTGAAAAAGATTGATGACAATGCGTACGTATTGAAGCTTCCCAGCCATATTCGCACTTCCGGTTTTTAATGTCAAGCATCTTATTCCACATTGTGGTGATACCTCAACGACGAGCTCCCGAATTCGAGGTTGAATTCTTTTGAGGAAGGGGGGATTGATACAACCCAAAATACTGCTCTCGAGTAGCTAGACAAGAGAGAAACTTAAAGTTTACAGGAAGAACTCCATAAGGGCAAATTAGTCATTGAGTCTACCCCCTTTATGTCTTTTATTTATTTCTTGAGTCTTTTTATTTACTTAAGGGCATAAGTAGTAATTTTTTGAGTCTTTTTTGTCTTTCTATTCACATAAAGTCTTTTATAATAAGGGAACATGATTAGATTAGATAGATGGCTATGTAAGTCTTGTTAAGGGTTTTCTTATATAAGGGATGTACTCAAGCATAACAGGGGAAAATGTTATGGACTTATGTTCAAAACCCTAGAGCAACAAGTGCTCCTTCTTTTATCTTTGGTTTTTGCCTCTCTCTCTAATTTCGGATCTTCCCTATCTTCTTCTTTGCAAAAAACCCTAGCTCAAGCTACTAGGTCTGCGCCAGGTGTGTGATTAGAAGGCTCCTCCAGCACCTGAGGGACCTGGTTTCATATGACTGTTGAAATTTAATTTGATTACTGCTGGACAGGGTGTAAACCACTGTGACAACCTAGCGATCAAAGAGGGGGAGAAGCAAATGATGTATGGCCATTGGGTGATGAAGTCAGTTGCCAAGAAGCACTTAAATTGTTCAAGCTTGAGGGCCCATGATGCAATGGTTGATTTGATGCAATTGATGAGGCTGAAATCTCGGGTAGTATTCTGCGAATTTGCTACAACCATAAGGACCAAATGATGGCAAGAATAGTTAGGTGCCATAGGGTAAGGCTCGAGGCTGAGGGGCACCAAGAAATACCGTACGAACAGGTCCTCTACTGTGGGTGGTGCCAAATAGTTTAGGTGAAAGACACCACATACAAGGCCAGGGTGCAGAGAATGAACAGGTTGGAAATGGACTCCTCTTTGCGATTGCACATTATACAACTGCTGGCAAATTGTATATCCTTGGTTTTGGGGTGGTCGAAGGTAAGGGCTTCATTTGAGAGAGCCATCCAATTGAACATTTGTACTTCGAAAAGAAACAGGGATCAATGATTTCAAAGGCGACCCATCTGGCACCTAGGCAACCGCCTAAGCGGGCCAAGGAACCTAGAAACATCGCCCAGGCCTAGGCGGGCTCCTTGGGCAGGGGGGTCCCTAGCTAGCCACCTAGACACCTGGGTGCCTGCCCAGGTCACCCATGACTTGTGTCGTGCCCAAGGGCGAGGGGCATTTAGGGTTTTCTTTTTCTTTTAGGTTGTAAAAGACAGCCGCAGGAGGGGGGAGGGTTAGGTTCATATGCAATCTAAATCCCATTTTAACTATTTGAGAGAGAGAAGAACTTCAAAAAAGTTGAGATTTTGTGATTTCCATAAGATCGAAGAATTTCTCAAAGTTGAGAAATTGATCCAAACATATCTCCCTTTGAGTTTGGATTTACTTTTGGAGATTTTTTAGGCCTATTAGAGGGCTCTTAGAAGATTTTGAAATTGAAAAATATCTCAAAGGTAGAATTTTAAAGATTGAGCAATCAAAAGTTACTGAAAAAAAATTTCTTTTCAGATTGCTTAGATTAATTTGAGATATCTTCTTCGGGTTCTAATATAAGTGATGATCCGGATTGGAAGTACAGCTATAACCCAAATACTTTAGTTAAAAATTGCATAAGATGTAATTATTGTGAGAAGGATACAAATGGGGGTATAAACCAATTCAAGAAAAATCTTGCCGGAATCGAGGGGATGTTGGCCCTTTGTGAAAACGTTCATGATGCCATTAAGAAGTTAAATTATATGAATATAATAGAAAAAAGAGGAAAGCGAGGCATGCATAGCAAAACTACGGTTTGGGGTTCATGTTAATTGTGACAATGATGATGAAATTGATGAGGAGGGGTGTGATGAGGTGGAGCAGCACGCTATGTCCCAGACTAGGGGGAAAGGAAAGGGCGTTGCAATTGGTTCTAGGGATGGGGGGCCTAAGAGGCCTTGGGTCAAGGTTGAGAAACAAAGAAGCAAACAACCATTGAAAATAGAATCAAGAAGAAAGATAGAGAGAAAACACTGCTTAGTACATTGCTCAGTGGTTTCATGAGACGGACATTTCTTTGAATGCAGCCCATCTAAATAGCATTCTACACCTTGGTAGAGGCATTTGGCTAATTTGGGTATGAGTTGAAGCCCCCAACCACCCCATAGGAGCTTTCAAAGCGTTTTTTGAAAAAAGACATGAATGTCACGATTGAGATTGTGGAGTAACAAAAGGATACATTGGCTCAATATGACGTTTCTATTATGACTAATTTTTAGAGTGACAAGAAGAGAAGCAGTTAAATGAATTTGTTGGTGAATTGTTCTTTAGGGACTGTTTTTTTTAGGTGTATTGATGCCTTTGATGATAGCCATGATGCCCATTACATATTTAAACTGATGAAGAGGGGATCGAGGAGATTGGGATTAGCATGTTATACAGGTTGTCACACAAACATTGCTCCTAATGTTGTTGCTGCTGATTTGTTATACATAGTCCACCCTCATACCTTTTGGACACCATGCGCAAAACACTGTATAGACCTCATGCTCGAGGCAATTGGAGATTTGCGCGAGATTGCAAGTGCAGTTAAGAAGGCTAGGTCAATTATAGTTTTCATTTATAGCCACACCTTAAGCCTCAGTATGATGCACAGATTATAAAGCAGAAGGAGATAGTGAGGCTGGGAGTCACGAGATTTGCCAACTAGCACCTATGTCTACATAGCATACATTCGAGGAGAGTCCAATTGAGACAGATGTTCATCTCGAATGATTGGAGAGCATGCAAGTAGGCCAGGGATCACAAAGGGAAGAAGGTGAGAGATATTGTCCTATCTAAGGCTTAGGGGTGAAGGGCGTTCTTAAAGTATATTTCCTCTTGTCAAAGTACTTTGCATGATTGACAATGACAAGCCCTCGATGGGCTACATATATAAGCAATGAAAATTTGCGAGAGAGAGAGAGAGAGAGAGAGAGAGAGAGAAGAGAGAGAGAGAGCCATAATTTGGATAATAATGTGAGCTGCTATGAGCCAGTTTTGAAGATTATTGATGAGAAGTGGTTTAAGCAGCTACATCGACCATTGCATGCCTCTGGTTTTTATTTTAACCCAGCTTTTCATTATGTTGACATGGATATATACACACAAATGACACAATTATAACTGGATTTAATAAGTGCCTGGATTTGCTAGTTCCTAATCAAGATATTCAAGACATTATATGCGATGATGAGCTAATAAGTTACAAGTGCGCATCAAAGTATTTTGGGAGTCCAATGGTGGTGAGACAAAGGACCAAAATCGATCCAATTAATAACATACTTAACCCAATCCTCAAGTTCAAGTTTCATGTTTGTTGTTTGTTTTCTATATTTCATATATAATCGTAATTCATAATCAATTTGCAGCCAATTTGTGGAGCCAACATGGATGTAATGCTCCAAACTTCATTCGTCTGTGAACGGAATTGGAATACTTTTGAGATGGTAATTTATTTTATTATTTTGCAATTTACTAATTTGAATTAGTAGTTACTAGTTTGTAAATACTGATTACTATGTCAATTGTAAATTTTTAATATTAATTAGTTTTGTTTGATTTTATTAGATTCATACACAGAAAAAAAACAAGCTTGAATCAAAGAGGCTCAATGACCTAAATTATGTGAAGTACAGTCAATACTTGAAGGAGAGATTTGTTAAGAGAACCCCCTCATATCAAAAAACATGGATAATGTCATGGAGTGGTTGGTTGATGATGATGAGGTCGAGGGGCACGAAAGATTGACAGAGGATATGATCGTGGAGGACTCAGGGACAGCAGCCGATCCTTATAGGGCCACTAGATCTCCTTCACAGAGGACGAGGGTGGCGGCGGAAGAGGAGGAAGCAGAGGCAAATTTAGAAGAGAAAAAGGAAGAGATGATTCCAATGATGATGGGCTTGACTCCGATGCATATGATGTAGCTGACCCTACTTTTTCTGATGATGAGTGATGACAAAAGACTCTTCAAGTCTATATTTCTTTCCTTTTTCTTTTCCTCCTCTTATGTGTATATATGGACTATGGATATGGAGTATGGAGAAGTGTATGTGGACTATGGACATTTGATGTCTTATTTCTTTCCTTTTCTTGATGATGAATTGATGACTGAATTCGAAATTTTTCAATGTTGGATTATATTTTTTTATTTTTACTATATGTATGGAGTCGATGGAGTATGGACTATGGTGTGGAGTATGGACTAATGGTATGAAATGTATGGATTATGGAGTAATGGACTATGGATGGACTATATATTATGTGTTCTTAATGTGTTGCCTCGATATACATTTTTGACTTTTTACACAAAATCTGGCCCTAAAACAGTTGGATCAGACACCCTCCTATGCTTTTTATTCTATCTAGGCCACCCAAGTTCTGGGCGCCCACCTAGCAGCTAAGCAACCTGGATCCCCTTGGCCACAGAGGCGCTGCCCGACATTTTTTGGAACAGTGTGCACAGTAACTGGCTCTAGATCTTCTTGAGTGAGGACTCAGTAAAAAGAGGTGACCATTAAAGAGTTTTTGGTTTCAGTTGCCCACATAATTCTATCAATCCCTTGACTAGAGAGTAAAGCTGACATAAGCAGGTCAAACAGGGAGGAGAGGACTGCGATCTCTGCATCATTAAGGTTTTTGAAAGTAGGACCATGTGACCCGGGCAAGTATATATAATTTAAAATTTCTTTCTTTCTTTCTTTGCTTTATTTATACCACCTGGATCACTTACAAGTGTCCAAAATATAACTTTGATTCAAAACAATAACAAAATAATACCAAGGATTCTCACTTGCATGCCATCAGCAAAAATGTATTCAATGCATAAATCAGCAAATTTATAAGTCACTTTATTGCGATCAAGAAAACATGGAATATGAAAATACCGAATACCTTACTTCAAATTACCCCCAAGGACACACCCCACACCAGGTCTCTTCCATCGATGGCGCACGGGATCATGGTCCTAACCTCGTCTCATAACTTGGGAAGCTTAGGCAAAACCCCTTGAGAGCATAGTATAGGATGGGATTATACCACAAAACAAAGGCAAGAGAAGCTAGGGCGTGCCACCCCTTATGGCTAGAGCATGGCCCCTTAGGGTTTTACTAGATATTATTTTACAATTAAAAACCCTAAACAGAGAAAATCAAATGAGAATGAGAGAGAGAGAGAGGCCAACATTAGAAGTGTACAGAAGGAACCCCCCTTGGAGACCTGTGAGGTGAAGAAATCTTAATCTTACATTCCTTAGATCAGCCATCATGATTAAAGGAATGTGCTAGAACCATTATCCCTCAATTTCCATAACTCTACTCCCATCAAAATTTTATTTAAAGAAAATATTACAAATTTATTTATTAATTTCAATCAATCACAACAATTTTCCCTTTGAAATCAATCATCCCATTTCAAAACATTTTCCATTATATGACAACATCTTCTAGAAAGCTTGTTGAGCAAGCAAAACTAAGAGGAAAGACAAGATGGGGCGTGCCACCTTTTGTGGGCACTAGTGGGCCCCACACCCCCCTACATAATGGGCCTCTTTGTGGTGGGCCCACAAATCCAATGGGCCCCCACAACCTCTAGTGAATTATAGCATAAAATTAATTTTTACAAACCAATAATATTTTTCTTCTCTATGAAACAATTAATCCAGGAAATTCATTTTAGGCTATTTAAAAATCTTTTTTACCCAATATAAAATATCCAAAGAGCTCTAAAAATTCATTTTAATACTCTAAAACAAAATTAAGTATAATTATACATATTAAAATGAATTTGATGGGAATTGGATCCAAAGGGTTAAGAATAGCACAAATATATTAAGGACTCCATCTATTTTACAAGACCGCATCCCACTGCCATCTTCTCAAACTGACAAAATAAATCCCATGACCCACAACCCATCGCAAGGGTTCATGCTTGGACTATCAAAGTCAGCCAATGAATGAAGGATGCATGATCTTAGTCCATGCATTAGCGGTTCCTTTTTTATTCCTCCTAAAGATTTCATTTCAATTGGAATTTGCTTATTCATGGTGATACTTATATTGATCATTGTCAAATTAAGCATCCATAATTGAATGGTTAAAGCATCCAACTCATAATTGGCAAATTCGTAGGTGCAATTTCTGTTGGATGCACACCAATTGGAATGTTTAATAAGTCTATTATAATTGGCTCTATCCTATTCTAGAACATCATGGGTCCTTCCAACACAGTCCAGTGTTGCAAGGAGACATCTCTTCAACACACATACACGTTACACCCCAGAGGGCTACTTCCCTGGCGGCTATCTAGTATACATGTTGTGCAAGGGTAATAATAAGCATTTTGGGCCTTGTCCTCTCCAGCCAACCACCGGACATAGGGATCACATCTAGTCCCCTAGCCAACTACCCTGAGCATATATCTGACTTCATCAAGGGATAACCCTACTAGAAAACATTTATCAGCTGTGCACAATGCCTAGGGCTATGGGTTTTAAACATCAACCCGAACTTAGCCAATCGAAAGCCAGGTGAGTCACGGCATTAGTGATACCCCACAGTCCATTCAAACCACACTCCCACTGAAGCCATTATATCACTATATGAATTATTTTCAATACATGCACTCATCATCATCATCATAGCCTTTTCTTAATTAATTGGGGCCGACTACACGAATATTGGTCCGCCATTTTGCTCTATTTAAGGCCATACCCTCGGTGAAGCCATAAGTCCCCATATCTTTTCAGACTACTTCCAACCATGTCCTTTTGAGCCTGCCCCTTGTCTTTTTCAATCCTTCCACTTGAACTAACTCGCACATCCTAACAGGTGTTGTACTAGGTCGACGCCACACATGGCCAGCCCACCTAAGTCTACTCTCTCTCATTTTATCGCCTATTGGTACATGCACTCATAAGGCCCCATTAAATTGATACATAACCCCAACAATTTTGGTAAAGGACATGGGTCCAACCACTAGCCCCCCAATGGTTTGATGTAATTGTCATGTTTCACCGAGGCCACAGGCTACATTGAAGCTTATTAGCTTTGCTTATCAAAACACACAAAAAGAAAACACTAAAAATTTCTTCTATATCACCATAAGACCCGATTTGAATAGCAGAACAACTCAATCATAGAAGCTGATTATTTTGAAATATTCTGTTTCCATAGCTAAGGGCATTTTATTGGCATTTTCATAGTAAATGGGGTCAAGAAAGTCCATAACCGGGAAATAGTGAAGTGGACCAAGCTGGGCCATTTGTCACTCTTAAATGGATGGTGGACAAAAGTGGCCCTGTTGCGAAAAGTTGGTCTGTCCAAAAGAAACCCAAGAAGCCTAAGTAATGATAGATTCAGATTCAGTAGTCCTTGCTTCCGAGCAGTTCAACTTCCAACTAGAAACATTGTTACTCCATGTTTGGAAGAAATAAGAACCACATATTGGTCACAAGAAGGAAGCCGTGGAAGAAACTTTCAGCAAAATTGCTTGCCAATAGTAAGAAGACAGGAAATGGTGACTAGTCACATAATTGTTTGATATGAGTTGTGTTTCCAAAATTAGGTAATGTCTCAGACTATAATCATGAATTTCTCTTGCAAATAATAATCTGAGGGTCCATGAAGAGATGAAGATGAATTCAGGGACAACCTTATACTGTGTGTGACACATTCTGGAAACATGCCCAATACTTGGGCATTTGATTAACCTATTGTTTTCTGTCACAACCATTACATAGTACACATTTCAAACCTTTACTAAAGAAATCTAAAAAACATGAATAGGAAAAAAGATGCTAATGGGTGAGATGAAACAAGAACAAGAGCATCAATTCCCATCCAAGCTCTAGAGTGAAGAACAAATGTCAAGGATCAGTAGCTTATATGTCAAGGACAATAAATAAGATGGATAACCTCCTAAGAAACCCAAGTATTGCACCCTATATATTAAGAAAACAGAAGTAAGGAATACACAAACAACTGCGATTATTAATAAACCAGGCAGCACAGCTAAGCCAAAAATAAGATCGCAAGCAAAAAAAAGCAACTTGTTGATAATGTGTGCAGCAGTTTCGCATTATTTCCTCACTGTAAGTCCAAAATGTAGAGAAAACAGTATCGAAGTACATGTAACCTTGGCTGCACTGTTAATAATCTGTTGCTTTGTCTCCAGTTGTTCTGAAGGAAAGGACGAAGACAGATATTTAAGGACAGTGGGGACAATATGAGAAATAGTATCACCAACAGAACTGTATTCTCCTAACATCCATACAATGACAGCACGAGCAGCAGGCACCTTGATTGAGTCCAAACTACGTATCAAATGGACCAGCACCTACCAAAAACATAAAACAGGATGAAATTAGAATTGACTCATTCATGGGATTTACACAAAAAATTATTATAATTTTTGCAGTCAAACCAAGTCAATGATGTAATATTAAGTTTTAGTATGTCTAACCACACACAGGTGCGGTATCATAGAAAGCCTACCTTTTCATAATCAGCAGGATTTCGCCTTATGATAGTCTTGATGGAGATAATTGCTTGAGTCAATACATAAGCTTCTGTTTCTTTATCATCCCCACAATTGACAGAAGACTCTGTAAGGTGAAAATTTCATTTGTTGAGCATAAGAAACCTCATTACAAGGTCATAAATAAAAGTACTTTATTTTCGATAGAGATTCAATTAGTACCTTGTCGAATTACAGCCAAAAGCCCTTCCAAGCAAGTGCTAGCCACAGATGGAAGCCGTTGTGCACATACACCAATTGCAGCAAGTGTATCAGCAACAAATCTTCTGTCCGGGTCTTTAATGTAATCCTAACAATGCACTAAAACCGTAAACATCAGCAGAAAAGCTAATTGTATTATGAAGTAAGAAAAAGCTAATGTTATTATGCATTTATTAGTCAAGCAATTCTTCACAGAAGCAAAGTAGAATAATCTTTCCCAAACAGGATACACATTGACTGAAGTTTTGCATGCGCATCTTTATATGCATAGCAGCATCAAAGAAACGAACGTGTAGAATGGTGTGAGTCATGAATTGTATCTTCAATACAAATTTGTATATGAAACTCAAGCAGAAGCAACCACATGCACCAAAATAATCACAAGTTCATGTTAATGTAATAAAGGCTGCAGGCAATCTCAACACTAACACATTCCTCAACCTTCCTCCCACATGAGGGGAACGACAAGATTGTCTGGTCTCCTGCTCCCACTGGCACCTTCTCTGTCTCCTATTTCCATAGGGCCTCCAAATGCCTTCTCCCAATCACCCTTCACCCCTCTACCGCGGCCAAAGCCTGGTTCTCCCTTGTTCCTCCCAAGATCCAAATGTTTAGCTGGATCACATTCTCAGAAAGAGGCTCGACTGTTGACCAACTCCAAAGAAGGGGCCTACAGTTACCCAACAGGTGCACCATGTGCACTGAGGAGGAGGAGACCAACGCACACCTTTTCATCCATTGCAACCTAGCTTGCTCTCTACAGGGGTACGTACTTCAGCTTTTCAGCTGGTCTTGGGTGACCCTGAATTCTATCCTCCAACTAATCCAGGCTTTCCTCTCCGCTCCATGGTCTAGACATTGCATCTCCCTTTGGCGAGCCTCTGTTTCTGCCACTTGCTGGATCACTTGGTTGGTATGCAACAACCGGGCTTTTGAGGAGGGAAGACTACCTTAGTGGCCCTTCTCGACAAAATCCTTGGTTACCTTCTGGGCCAAGAATAATAAACTTTTCCAGCACTGCCCTCTCTCAGACTTCCATCTCAATTGGAAGAACCTGCTGACTCTCAGATCAGCACGCATCTCTTGGTCCTCTCTCTGGAGACCTCCGGAGCAAGGCCAAGTCAAGGTTGACTTCGACGATTGCTCCCTTGGCAACCCAGGCCATGCTGGAATAGGGGGCATCCTCAGAGATTCTAGTGGCACCACCCTTCTTCATTGGCCTAACCAACTCCAATGTGGCTGAAGCGTTCGCCCTTCATGGGACTTTGCAATTTCAAATTTTCAACCCATCCTGGGGTGCAACTCTGATTATAGAGGGGATTTCAAAAACGTCATGGTCTGGGCATCTAAATCATCCCCCTGTCCATGGAGATTGGAGCGCATCTTTGATGAAAGTTTCCACCTTTGCAGGGATACTCACGTGGTTTGGCAGCATATCTGGGGGCACGCCAACGCCACAGCCGACGCCCTAGCTAAGGACACGCCTCACAGCAGAACACATAGGAGACTTTTGAGCACCTTTTTGAGCTCTAGACCTCACCTGCTTGTTATCCTACTTACTATCTCTCAGCTTGTATAGCATTTTTTGGACCCTGTAAGGGGAATTTGAATATAAACACCTGGAATGCGGGTGGCTCAACCTCTTATATATATCTTTTATCTATACAACAGTTAACAATTTCCAAAAAAAAAAAATGATGCTGTAAATTTTCTTTGAAGTTGCACTAATACAAAAAATTTGAAATGTCATAAACTCACAGAAATGTGAGTTCATAAATTGATTAGGTCCAAATAGTAATCCATGTTCCAACAAGGGCATCCATCCTGCAGTTGCCCATGCCAGCAAGTTCAAATATCAAGATTGAATATTGCAACTAAAATGATGCTGAAAGCTTTTATATACTTAACTTATTGAAAATTAACAACTAACAGGGAAACTGCAAAGAGCGTACAACTTTGTTATACGACATGTTATAAACCAGGTTACAAGCACAATATACATTCCCAAATAGACACACGTACAGATAATTCAACAAAACTGAAACGAGTAATCAACTAGTTAAAAGACACAGACACTAAGTTACTTCTATGAATGATATGTAGGAATAGTGAGAAATAAGATCTGCATAATGTTGGGGAGTTTTCAGATACAACTAGCCTAAAATTGTTGCCACATTTTTTTTTGAGAGTGATAGGCTCAGTGCCACAAGGCAGGCGGCAGACCCAAAAGGACGTTGCTTCCCTTTGGAGCATAGCTGTTCTTATAAGGAAATCATCTACATCACTCAAACAGCAAAGATAAGCTTTCATCATGTATTAACAAAAGCACATTAGATATTGATTTAATAGACAATAGGATAGGGAGAAGACGCCATATTTCCAGAATACTCTTTCCTGCTTGCCTAAACTTTGACTATTGCATTAGCTCTCTTTGTCGATTTTGCTGCCACATTATCTTCATTTGCGTATAGCTTCAGATACAACTTGACATGTAGTCTCATTTAGTTTGATAAATGAATAGTTAGCAATAAAACAGAAACAGATAACTCACTACCACGGATTGGCCCCCCAAAATGAAATCTCAATCATAAGCACAAAGCCTCAACCAAACTCTTCGATGAATTATCTCCAATACCAACTTATTATGATTCCTCCACTTATTTTTCGTGTTCAAATTAACCATATTATATTTTATCACGTAAGGCATTATGATACGATATTTGAGAACATCGATGTGAAAAAAACATAAAGGACAGGAGCTATGTAGAAGTCTTATGCCTGACACTAGATTGATGCATCTTAGCCATTTATAACCTCTGAATTAAAGAATCTGTGATTCGCCAATAGGGAAATCACTACATAACATTGAATCAAAATGTCTAATCACTAATAACATAGATTTAATTGGTAACAAGAAAAAGAAAGGGGGAAAGCAACTACCTGGAATTCTTGAAAAATGAAAGATATTGATGATTCAGTGGCAATGAGAGATAATATATCAATTTTTAGAGCTTTGATTTCATATGAATCAGAGTAGCACATGAAAAAGTCTTCAAAATGAGATGCAAATAATGAAGGAATCGCCTTTGTGAACACTAGTATGTTGGAAAGCACCTGCAACAAGACATCACAGCATAGTCTCAGCATTTAAACAAAAACAAATTGTTGTGCCCAAAACAAGATAATAGCTTCAAATAATAAGAACAAAAAAACACAACAATAAAGACACAACTCACTTGACATCAATGAAAATGTCATAATTCAAAATACAAACTAACAAATTTTCATCTTGAATAACCTACCAAGAGATAGATTTAACCTTCTATCTCAAGTTGATCAATTTCAATAAAATTCCCTCAAAGAATGACTACCTCAATGCTGCTCGCTACAAATAAATAATTTTCATTTCATTAGTTTATATTGAATCCAATGACAAAGGCACTATAACATTACAAAGAACTTTCCTCTTTATATGGCTGGAATTCAACTGACTATTAAACAGCATAACGCCCCATTCAACCAACAAGAGTTTACACTACCAGAATAAGAAGTGGCATTGATGCAAAGGCAGTATATAAACCTCAGTAAAAGAACTAAACTAGCCACAGGATTCTTCCAATTTCATAAGTAAGGGGGTGTGCAAGATATAGACCACAAGAATAAAACAAAATGGAATCTACCATACTTATCTATGAAAAGCTCACATGCCATGTTTGTGAAGCATCAAGAATTTAGACTTGGCATAATAATAGTGAGACATGTTTGTGAAGCATCAAGAATTTAGACTTGGCATAATAATATTGAGAACCAGCTCGGACGTAAAAGTGGACTAAATATCTTACAGAGCATAACTAACCTTTTCCTGACTCAGTTAAGAAATAAAATAGTGCAAGACAAGAAATTACAAATAAACCATGCCTATTTGATTTGTGCACCTGGCTCATGTTATCCCAAGACAGATATCAGACTCCCCTTCAATCTAAAACTGTATCGAACACCCATTCTGAAAACTGAAATCAGACAAACCTCAAGAATATTGAGAATCAACTTCAATAAACACCAGTAGTACCACGACCAAAAGCAGAAATCCGTGGTTACCGGCTAGCCACCATCAAGAAAAAGAATATCCACCCTAAGGCTGAATCATGTATGATTAGTGGGCTCGCACCCTTTTATATACATCCTGGAGCTGCATTTTGATGCCCCGCCTTCACAGAAACCACTTTATAGGGCTTATACTCGGAAATAATTTCAGTACAAACAAAAACAAATAACCGATTCCCTAGAGCAAATGAATCATAATAAACTGATTAAGAGGTTCATGTGGAGCAGTGTGACTCGAAAAAAGTAGGATCAACTTTGTTGATGTTTCTACTCACTTACTAATGTGCCTCATGGATGTAAACATATAGAGGAGGAAAGTTTAGGGCAAGTGCCATCTGGGAATTGAGCACTAAAGAATGAGACCTAGATTTTGGACTTTGGAGCACTCTTTCATTCTAGAGGTAATTGAGTATGACGTAACCAAAAATAATTTTATTACAGGTGAGCATCCATAGAGGATTAGTTATTACAGGTAAGCATCCATAGAGGATTAGTACATGTGTATTCATAATATTATGAGGTTAACCGAGCCGCCTAATGAGAGTGCAGCATGGGACTATCAGTTATTGGGTGACCATTTGAGAGGCCTTCAGCCTTTGGGAGGCCACTCAGATATCATTGTTGCATTTGATATCAAAAACAGCCGAAAAGGAAAAAAAACATAGGATAGAGGGAGAGACGTCAAGGAAGTATCAATATATAACACACAACTGAGTCTTGATTCAGTAAATAAACAGTCAAAATGCATACCCATGCAACACCGAACAACTCAAATTTCAGATATAGCTATATTGCAAATCTTAAATTCCAGATATAGCTATATTGCAAATCTCAAGTCAAATTTCAGAAGTAAATATCTGTAGATCACTTCTAGTTTCAGCAGGACACTTAAAAATAGGATAATTTTAGTTGGGCAAGCTTTCTATGCTTCCCCTATAGCATAAAACTTATATGCTTCCCCTTATCCAATCGTCCATTCTGAATGGACGGCTAAGATAGCCCCAATCACAATGTCATGTCTCTACACTATTTTATTTTTAATTTTTTTATACAAAATATTTTGACACCAAACTTTGGGCATCCAATCCTCTATTATACTTGCACTTCTAAAAAATATAAAAAAATATTTCCAATAAAATAAAATGACCAAAATTACCCCTAAAAGTTTCAAGGGGTATTTTTGGCATTATATTTTATCGATAAATTATTTTTAATATTTTTTGTAGGTGCGCCCCAATGAGAAGATGACACGTACCAAATTTCATATTCATACAATTTGTATAAAAAAAATTAAAAATAAAATACTCTGGGACGTTGGATCTAAGATCAAACGGTTAGTAGCTCACTTAATCAAAATTGGACAGGATGGTAGGGGAAGTATAGATCTTCTATGCTATAGCGGAAGTATAGATATCTTTCCCATTTTAGTTTCCACATAAACTAACAAACCAAAAATTAGTCTTCAATCAAAAGGACAGAGTCATCAAAGTTTCATGGCTTTGTAAGCATCTGAATGCTGATAATTTAGGAACAAATTTTCAAAAGCATGGAAAATATTCCAGTTATAAGCACCTCTTGATTGCAAGAAAATCCCAAACTCAAGAAAGTAGGTAAATTATCAAGAAACTTTAATGAGAACCACACAAAAACACACCGATATACATAGCTTAATATGTCAACAAATGTGGCTCCACAAGTTGTCATATTTGAAATTATGGAAAGGCAAAAATGGCTTCAGAGGAACAGAAAAAAATTACTCTCATTTTTCATAGGTAAAAAAGAATTCCTCCTTCCACATAACAAACTTTCAAAATCTTACCACATATCGCGAGGAATGCGATGACCTCAAAAGAAACAAAAGTGGCTTCACTATCTTCCTCAAATCATCCTTAGGTGCCATAATCCAGTGAGTTCCAGCAGCCACAAGTACGACTGCACTGTTTTGACTCCATAATAAAGGCGAAGTACATTGAAGCAAGAGTTTCACGTCATTATTTTCGTATGACGTAAAAATGAGTCCAGATGTATTGGTATCATCTTTGTTAGGAGAATTTAATCTTGACAAATACTCGTCCTGTCCCTCTATATAGCATCTACATAGTGCTGTCATCAATTCTGATTCATAAGCTTCATTGTGCTGCATGAAGCTACTGTCATTATCTGTTACCCCATATCCACCAGAACCCTTGTCAGAGAGTGTACTTTCATTGCAATTACAAGGAAGCAGTATGGATCCTTTTGAAAGCCCGTGCCTTGCTACCACATATCGTAGCAGGATTCCAATCAAGACAATCTGGCCCCACTCTTCAACATCAGGGAGAGTCTCACATAGTCGTTTAAAGCTTCTCCCAATCAATGATAGATTGTTAGGGGAAACAGAATTAAACGCAGCTGCTGCAGCTCCAACTACGCCTGGGGAACTATCATTTAACAAGATACCAACAAGCTGCACAACAATAATAACAAGATAGCTGAAGACAAGTCATAGAAGCCATGAATAGACCACAAAACATTTTGCTGGGGAAGTATGTAATCCAATGGACTATGGAGAACCATAGTTTATTGGGTCATCACCGTCAATTGAAATGGTGATGGGCAGTGATAGAGAAAGAGTACAACCTGACAGAACAGGACATAAGTGGGTTCCACTCTCTGTTGACTACCATCCATCATTTCATTGGACGACAATGAACCCAATACATTAAATCTTTTACAAATTTCAATGAATTATAGTACACTATCTCTTTTCCTCTGATGGTTAACAAAACAAAGACCTAAGAAAAATCTACATTAAGCAGACCTCTGCAAGAGCACCATAGTTTTCCTCCAATTGTAAATCATGAATCTTTGGAAGGGCACTTGCCGCACATTTTCTAACATATGGAGATGGGTCCCTGGCGCACTTGTTGACTGCCGCCAAAACAAGAGGAGCTACATCATGTAAACGAATCCCTGACATAGCACGAAGAGCCCATGCACGAACTAAGGGGTTCAAATCTGATAGATCCTTTTGGAAGCAGTTAATAGAAAGCAATGCTTCATTTGGTCGCCTGATAGACAAAAAAAAGCCCTTTTTAGAAGTATGGCTGAATGGATGCATTCAATTTTTTACCCACTAAATGCATTCTTTTGATAAGATAAAATCCCTAAATTCACCCAAAAAAACAAAACTAGTAGACACAGATTAAGTGCAAAATATCCAAGAACTGCATTGAGTAACATGCTATATGAAGATCCATGAATCAGAGAACTTTTCTCCAATAACTAGAAACTATGCATTATGGGTTACATTCATCAAGAAAAGGCACTTCTCTTGCTCCAATTCACAAAGATTACGCCACATAACTTGGAGTATAAGCAGAATATAAAAGAGTAAAAGAGCGCGACCAGGACTCTAATCCAAAAAACAAAGAGAGTAAAGAGGACTATAGAACAAAACTGTTGACATTCATGCCATTCTATTCTCACATAAATCATCCTCTCTCCTCATACCCATTCAGGGCATGAAACAATTGTAAAAGATGCACGCTCTATTGATAGTTTAAGTAGATGGAGCTACACTGTTAAAAGAAAGCAATGTATGGGCCAAGAAAGAAACAAAGACTGGTTATCAAACTATAATGTATGCACCCCGTCAATGAAAGAGCAAGGTCTTCCTCATGGTGATAGTCATTAGAAATATAACAAAATGTTAGAAATATAACAAAATGTTCACTAGTGTATGACTTATTATCTGTCCTGTAAAGTATCAAATGTGAATTTTAACTCCAGCATTGTTTATTCTTCAATAACAAATATCTTACATTCTCATTCAACTCATTCTGTGCTCCCAATGACTTCTCACCTCTAGAATTCCTGTCGTCGTCACTGCACCTCTTTCTGTATTCAGTCATGACTGAACTTAACAGGAATGATTTCTCCTCCGTGAAGGATGAATCTTTTTGTGATACAACAGCCAGTTAAAATTTGATGATGCCAGCAGAAGTTGCTTGGATTCTCAATCCAAACAATCTAACTTGGCTTCATGATATTCAGATTTAACACATTGGCTTACTCTAACTGTTCTACTTGAACAGATTAATGAATCTTTCTACCCCAAGGACACCACAATGAGACCCTCACAACCAGACTCATTTAATTCAAATTGTGAAGTCATTTGCCCATTTCCTTGGGAACTGACCACTGCACATATGAACTCAATACCAACTGCAGGTTTATGACTTCAAAGCCATGTTGACTGGTAGAGTTTGATGAATTCATGGATTTGTATACTCCATTGATTGTGACGAAATCAGCTCAACTGTAAATGTGGGCTTACAGAGTTACTTCATGTTTGCAGCGCCATTTGATGAAAGCTACTATCATGCAAATACACCAGCTGGTCAAGTACATATCCCTAGATGGCATCCATATCATGGTAACTACTAGGCTGACCTTCTGGTAACAATCACTTGATGCACGCAGATAGGTCCTGGTTGCAACAGCTCTATACATGCAGTCAAGAGGATGACTGCACACCAAACCACGCTGTGTCAATTGCAACCAAAAGACATGAGGTTGAACGATAACATCCAAAATGCTTTCTTAGTACCTGCATGACTACCAAACCCTGAGTCCAAAAATACATTTTTTATTTTGTGTTATTGATAATTTCATTGAAGGAACAAAAATGTTGAAGGGTAAATAAGGAAAAGCGTAAACAAGCCCAAACTCTAGTTTTGCTCTGGCAATGTTGCTTCTCTATTCTATCAAGTATGACAGAGCAATAGACATATAGAGTGGCAAAAAGAGAACATGATGACATGAGAAATAAACAAAGAACAAAGGTAGAGACAAAGCTCTCAAGCACACCCCAACCGCCCCACACCACCTCAAACACACAACACACGCACACACACACGCATGCACACGCATGTGCGTGCGCACGCAAACACACACGCACATGCACATGCATATGCACATACGCACGTGCACACACGCGTGTGTGTACACACACACACCCTCAGGTTGCAATTTTTTGTCAAAAATGCTTTTATTGATTTGACTTTCTTTGTTTTCTGCATTTATTCCGTCTCACAAACATGAGAGGAAGTTTAACCAGTCCATATAAGATGCAGTTTAATAAGATCTTCTCAATTATTGCCCTATATGCAGTATTGTAGCATTTCTTTCTGTTGCGAATCCTTTGCAAAAAAATGTAAATATGTGTTGTATACGAGCAACTAAAATTGGCGAGTGCATGAAGAAATGCTGAGACTCATTCCTTTAGTACTACTATACTGTAAGTGAGCTTTTTCAAAGCACTGTGGATAATAGTTTTGTTGTTTCGTAAGTTAATCATTGAATCCAAATGTAATGGATGAGATAATTTCTCCACACTACAATTACTTAGTGATAACAATAATTAAAGACACAGTATGAAAGACAAGAATTTCAGCCTTATTTAAAGGGCGATCAAATTAAATGATGAAGCAAAGTTCACATAATCTAATTGGTTTCTCAACATAAAAATTGTATTACATGTATGATAGAAACATTGACATGACATACTTTTCAGCATAATGCAGTAGATATACATAGACAAGTTTCTTCACTTCCAACGACTGGGATGCTACATTTTTCACAACCTGCATATCCAATGAACAAACAAAAACTTAAATTCATAAACTAAATATATTTAACAAATAACCAAAATCCCAAAGTTGCCAACAAAGAATAAAAACTCATATAGACCCCAAAACTATGTAAATCAATTACCTATATCAATGCATTATTTTATAGAAAGTATATTGAATATTTAAAATTAATCCCTTCAATAACTACAGGCACGGAAATGCATATCAACAGCTATTCTTTGCAACCCATGTAAAGGCATGGATAAATGTGCTTGCGAGCGTGTATATTTGCATCTGTATATGTGCATGCAACAGTCCGTGACGTACACATGCATGTTATGTTTCAATGCTATAAATTTTATGTCCATGAATTTGTAAGGTATATAGATAAATATATTGTTACAATTATGGTTGACATAAGTCATAAGATAAATAAATACTGGTTTCAAGAATTTATGTACTATGTTGAATTACATGAATATACATGAATGAGTGCATCCAAATGATCTGTGTGTGCCCGCCAGTACATATGATAGATTAGATGCCAATAACATCCAAACCACAATGCACCATTTATAGGAATATTCCAAATTAGCAAATTCTCTATAATTAACTCGGTGGAAGTTTGTATCAATGTTATAAAGACCAGATTGGTGGGCCATGACCAGGAAACGGGTCTAGAACTTGTCCAGTCTAATCTTAAAAGGGAATACAGACATCTGATAGTAAAGGTAATGGAAAAGTTGCCTAAAACAAAAAGGAAAGAAAAAACAGAGAAGAAAGGGGAAAAAGTAAAATTGCAAATTAAAGAATTATCAACCCTATTGCTTCAAATATTTTTTCTATATTAAAAAACAGCTGCTATGTGGCCTTGCCATTTGTTTCTTCAAAAGCTGAAACCCCATGTAGTAGCAGTCATGCCATTTTTGTGGCTGCTATTCAAGAATGGTGACTGTAATTTTCATGTAAAGGGCCTTTTATTGCACTCACACATTGCATTACATAATGTAACAGGTGGAGACTATTTTTTATATAAAATTTATTATTTTAATACCGACTTGCTACTGTTATATTATGCAAAATTTGGGGATCATTTCTTATACATGGTCAGCTACTTCAATGCAACTGCATTTATTTTGAACCATTTTCGGAACAAGGACTTTGGGGAAAGCATACTGGGGAACTACAAATAACAATTCAGTCATTGTGGATGAGGTGGGAAAGAGGGACAATCTACAACAGAATTTGAGGCAGTAAGGGGAGTATTAGATCAGTCAACAAATAAGCATTGGCAGATTGTTTGCCTTTGTACAAAAAGGTTGGTTCTAGAGGACGAGAGGCTTTTAGATAATTGAAGGTCTCATAATGAAAAAAGTTAAGGAAAAGACAAGAAAACATGAAAAGGCAGTAAGCAGTCTAGAGACGACACCAACAGGAAGAAAGCTAAGAAGCTCAAATACGGTAAAAGGAGAGGTCATTCTAGCTTAATAATTGCATCAAGTTTTGGAGACAAAGAAGTTTCTCGCCTTTACAGCTGAAAAAAGAACATGTGACATGCTCTAAAAGCATCCATTTCTAAACATTGCTATAATTTTTACAAGTTTTGGGCCCACACTGTGCGTTAAAAAATCATTACTATAAAATTTTAACAACATCCCCATAGAACAACAACCATTTGATACATTAAATGCCTTATTCTTGACTAGTTATATGCCTATCATCCAAAAAAATTCATATTTAGACACACCACATCCACAAAATTTTGCGAGTTCTTCCAAACTAACACATGGGTCTCATAGCCCATAATCTAGCTTACTGATATCATATGGTATCCATGAAAATGCGAGAGTTATAGAGGAATCCAAACAAGTCACTGACCTCAGCTTCCACTGAGGAAAAATAAAATAAAGGAAAACTCTGCAAGCCTTCCAGTCCAAATGCCTAATAATCAACTCCACTTCAAACTAAGAGCAAACTAAGAGAATAATACATGTAGAATGACAACCATAATAAATGATAATAAAACCAAAAAGGCCACCCAAGAAAAAAAAAAAAGGGAGGAAAACAGCAATTGGCCATTGATTCTTTTCTGAAACACAAGTCTACCGTAATCAACTACGAACCCAAAACACAAAATCCAAATACAATGATTTCTGCCCTTTGAAGAATATAAATAATAATAACAATCATAAGGCATCATGCAAATAGAGAATGGTTTGAATCGAATAAACATAATAAATAATAGAAAACCCATGAATTCCCACAAAAAATTAACACGTAAAATGTATTGCCCCATATACAAAATAAGAAGCAAGAGGTGTATGAATCGAAGCATTTTGAATTCCATATCATGAAACGTTCAATATAGACCAGATCCATCGGAACACAAATCAGGTCCATAAATTCAAAAAAGCAATTTATCACAACTTAAAGAAAGATTTGCAGAATTCAATGGCAGTGAACCTGAGGGAAAAAATTGGAGACATCGCAACCCTGCGCAATGAGGGCGAGCAATCGCTTGAGAGCCTCCGATTTCTCTGTGTCGAATTTGCTATCGAGAAGAGGAGCAATGCTCACATCTTCTGGGTCGTCGTAGAGGTGGGCATCACTCCCGATCCTGAACACCATCGTCGAAGCTTTGCTGAAGCCCGCAGCAGTGGCACCGAATTGAGGGAACATCTCTCTCTCTAGAATCTCTCTCCACATGAGGCAGAGTCCGCTTTCTCTCTCCTTGAATCGCAAGAGCGAGAGCCCCCCACTCTCCCTCTCTCTCTTCAACACTCTCTCTCTCTTCCACTCTGCGCTCGATGCTCACTCTGTGGATCTAACGGGCAGCAGGGACACGAATTTTTTCCAGATGATTGTATAACATGTATGGTCACGAGTGTAAAGACCGTTTACTTCATTGATCGACGGAGGTGGAGAGAGAGCGGAGAAGACCTTGCCATGGTCGAAGTGATAGGGCCACTCTCTCTCACTCCAACACCGCCAGATTGATCGATTGGATGGTGATGACCTTGTGTTATTTTCGGTGGTCATATAGATCATAGCAAACTTGGGATAATGTGAAGGAGAAAGTTTGTATAGAGTGTGAACATTATACTATAGAAGTTAGTCGTACCTAAAAATGGATTGGAAATGGTTATCCCGACACCGAAAAATCTTTCAATTGATCATCTTGACCTCAAAATATATGAAAAAGAAAAAAAAAGATTCTTAGTTTTGGAATTAGTGTATTTTATAATGTATTATCTTAAGTGTCTATTTTTAATACTTTCAAGTGTTTGTTGATCTGCTCGATTTCCACTAGTTTAAAGTATTATATTTCATAATCGGAAATAAAATTAGATTTTTAGACCATCATAAGGATTTTCATATTGAAACAATATCTTTTAACATCATTTGGCAGTGTGCCTTGATGGTTGAAGGTGCCAACCATATACAAATCTCACCCGTAAATGAATTATGCCATCCTCATCTAATACGATGAGATGAAAGTGTGATGCAAATTATCACCATCCATTTGAAGGGTTGGACAGTGATGGATGGGAGTGAAGATAAACAAGAACGAGATACATGCTTGGTGGGGCTGAATCTCCATCATCACCGTCCAATCTATTCATTGTTCGGTAGTAACCTCTTATGATATTTTTGTAATCAATTTATACGTCTGCATGATGCTTTCATGGGACATTGAATACGATGTTGCAACTAATTGATAGCTACATATCACATCAACCATCAATCATCCTCATCAATATCGTATGGTCCAGATGAACATTTCTTAAACGAGTTATTGAGCAGAGCAAGTAATATAACCGTCTTAGGGTGCAGTTGGCATACGGTTGCATCCGTAGCTGTAGGGGTTAGGTGCATCTTCAAATTTTATCATAGTATATAATTTGAAAAAAGTTTATACAATGATGTAACCCTGTTTTTTTTTTTTTTATCAATGTTCAAAATTTTATTGATAAACTAAAAGAAAATTACAACAGGAGATATAGAGAGAAAAACAAGCCCAACGCCCCATTTTGCCAAAGCATCAAAAACCTCATTAGCCTCTCTATAAACATGTGAGAAAGTAATAGTCTAGCTTGTTGTAAAATCCATAATCTGTAACCATAAAGATCGAAGTTCCCACGGAATAGACTGCTTTTTTTTACACCATCTAATAACGTTTAAAGAGTCACCTTCAATTAAATAGGTTGTCCTCAAGTTATGGTTTATAAAAATGAACAAACCTCTAAGAACAGTATTCATCTCAGCAAAATTTACAATAGCAACCCCAATCGGTCCTGCATAGTATTCCCATAGCAATCACGGATTACACCTCCAATACCCGTCGGACCTGGGTTACCAAGAGAGCTACCATCAAAATTAATCTTAACGCAACCTGAGGGTGGAGCTTATCTACAAAGCTTTTGGTCGATCCTCCTAAACCCAAGAGAAAATAGATTGGAAATATTGACCATCACATCCACTTTTGTGATGCCCAATCCCTCCTTGGTCACAAAAATACATGATCATACCGACTGCTTAATTAAAAGAATCACTTTTTGTTAGGGCAAAGTCACACCTTCAAAGGTTATTCTATTCCTCTCCTTCCACACTTCCCACATCACCATACCTATGGCTATCTTCCAAATTGTTCTCCCCAATTTTGGGTAGAAAAGGAAGAACAAACTGGGTAATTATCCCAGAAACCCTTGATGTGTAAAATATGTACATTTGAAGCTCTTATCAGTTGAATCGGGGTTCCGGTGGAAGATGTCTTATGTTATTTGAAGTTATTAGGACCTGGGTAGTTTTTTAGGAGATCCTATAAACATATGAAAATCTTGAAAATGGACGGTATAGATAATATGTAGAAAAATGTACTATTTTTGAGACTTAAAATCTTTTTATTTTTCATGGTCATACATATCGACGTGTTCAATCAAAGGGTTTTTCAATATTAAAACTACATTTTTCGATGGATTTTTAAGGTGCATCCGTAGTTCTACATTATAAGGTTGCATCCTTATATAAACTTTTTCAAACCGTCTAATGGTAGCAATAAACGGTTGAAATGATATGTAGCCTTCTGTTTGTATGCTACATTTGTAGCACTCTGTAGTTTCTTAATGAAAGGCGTAGTGTAATCCAATAGAGTGGTCCTGCAAAACGGTGCAGAATCATCGAAATATCATCCATCTCGATGGATGACGATAGAAAGTGGGGATCAATTGTATGCTGCTGAATTTCCTGGTGGGTCCTACTAATGGTAATCCCTGCCATTCAACAAAAATGGAGGGTAGATAATCATTGGAGTACCGTGTACCGTACGTCATTCAAATATGTAAATCATGAGTATGGAAATATTTAGAAGTATAGCATTTTAACGATACTGTTGTAGTAATATTTAACTATTAAAAATGGGATTGTAGACAATGAAACTATTTATGTTTTATACAAGGAGTTTACAATTATTCACAACCAATCATTATGGAATTTGATAGCTTCAATGTGTTATAAAGTTCGAAAAAATTTCTTTTGACCTTTGAATTTGGTCAATAGAATATATATAGCCACCCAACTTCATATTCAATGGTCAAGATTAATTGTGACTACCTTGTATCAAAGATAAATGGTCTCATTGTATACTTTTTTTTGAAAAATTGGTCACTCTTGGTTCAAATTTAAAAAAACTGTTTTTTTTGACACATTTAGAGTGAGTGTCAATTTTTTGTGCCATAAATTTACAGATAACTTAGGTTGATTATTTATTTATTTCTTTACCCGATCCTTAAAATTTTATGGTTTCTAATTTGTGATTAAAAAAATAAAAAAAAAATAAAAAACTAAAATGTCCATAAGTTGAACGCAACTTTACTCAGATGATGTTAATGAATTGATCAACAGAAAATGTAAATTTTGAAAATTTTAGACAATCCCATCTAATATTACGAATTTATGACAAGATAATTTAACACAATAAATTTTAATTATAATTGTAAATAATTAGAAACAATAATAAAGCCAATAGATGTTAGTATTGTGCACATGCTTCTCAGATGATGTTAATGACTTGATCATTCAGAAAATATGAATTTTGGGAATTTTAGTTGCGAAGAATTTATTATATAGCATGTTGAGCCACCCAAGACAACCAAATAAATCCACATAAAATTAAAGACTTAAGAAATCAGAAGAAATTGTTGCACATAAAATTTTTAAAAATTCATTATAAATATTTTTTTAGAAGCATAAAAATAAAGTTATTTAAGTAACCAAATAGTAAAAAAAAACTATAGTTTCATTTTTCCTATCATTTAAGAAAAAGTCGGAACAATTTATGTGAAGTAATTAAAGTTTTATTATAAATATTTTGGTAACTCATAAACTATTCTCAAATAATTAAAAATTCTATTAGCTTGCCAAGCATGCTTCTCACACATTGGGAAAATCCAAAAGAATTAAAAATAAAAGAAATCATTTCTTTACAAAAAGATTTGATGATATTGTGAAAGAAGAAACAGTAAATTAATCATTGACTAAAAAAGAAAAAATAGTTTGAATTACATGCATAATAATTTAACCATAAATTTGAATTCAAAACCCAAAGAAATCCAATCTAATGAAAACTTAAAAAAATAAATCCATATAATAAAATTAAAAGGATGGATAAGAATGGAGTGTAGTTATTTTAAGTTCTGGCTCCTAGAGAGGATAAGAGATCACCCCATTTACTCAAATATTTAAGTATCCAACCTACATGATATAATAAAATCTAAGAAAAATAAGAGAAGAGAAGCATAATAAACTCAAGCTATAATATATACACGTATTGTTAACAAAAAGAAAGAATAACAAATATATATCGTGACACATAAAGGTCATGATGACGTTACAAATTAGTCCCTTCAAAAAAATTTTAAAAAAACGAATTATTTGAACTTTTAAAATGAAAAAGTAAAAAACAAATTATAAAGCTTCATATTATTTAAATGGATATATATTTTGTCACGCAATGCAAAAAACTTGATCGATAATTGACATGTAAGAGAAGGTGATGAGGTAGAAAGCAATCTCTCTCTCTCGCTCTCTGATTTTAAATTTGGATAAAAATAATGAGTTATAAAGTTTGAAAAAGTTTTATCGGGCATTGTGTGGAATTTGATGTAGCCGTTTGATTTCACATTTGATGGTTAAAAGTGAATATGACCTCTTTGTATCAAAAGTAAACAAATCTTATTTTATACTTTTTCGTATATTTCTTACACCCTCCTGAAGTTTTATTGCCTCTCCATTTCTTTGAAATTTGTAAATTTACTAATTTAATTATATTAGAAAATTTAAACTTATTTAGGATAAACTTAGTAGTTTCTAATAGAAGCACTGCATTAGGATTAACTAATCCATCCAAATCTCAACCCTAAACTCTTCTCAAAATTTTAAGAAGGTTTTAAAACAAAGAAACTCATTATGTTTTGTAAAAATTCTATCCATGAGTCTCTATCTTTCTCTTGGCACCTATCTGAATCTCAAAAAAATAGAACCCTAACGCTTTCTCGAAATTTTAGGAGTTTTGATGAAGAAGACTAAAACTTCTTTTTGAATGTGTGACTCTCTCTCTTCCATATTATTTCTCCAAATCCTGAAAAATGAGTTTAATTTATCTACTCCATCTACCCGGAGGACATAAACCCTACCCTATTTCTCTGGATAGTTTCCTTTTGATTATAACCTACCCACATATCTAGTATGAGTTCCTTTCTTTTTTATTTATTTTTTATTCTCATCCTTTAACTACACCTGCTTAATTAAAAGAAAATTATACAATGAGGTCATTTATCTTTATCTTTGATGCAAGGTTTCAAAATTCAAAAGAACTTTATAAGCAATTGTAACCTCCTTATGTCAAAGGTAAATGGTCCCATTGTATACAATCCCTTAATTAAAAAGCATAGATAACATGAGGCAACTAGTGATATTCAAGCCATTTACGATGCTTCAAATATGAAATCGTTGAATTCACATGTAGAGATATAAATTCATCAAAATAATGGAAAATTTTAAGCATCAACCAAATGCTTTAAGAAAAATCATATATTTTCCTTAAACAAATTAAATATCTATAGTTAGTTAAGATGGATGCTTCATACCTCGGGGGCCGCAAATGTAGAAATGCGATCCCCGCCACATGAAACAATTTTCCAATATAAATAGGCTACAAGTTAGGCAACTAGTACCACCGCACAAAATCATAACCCAAGTGCAAATACGCCAATGCAAATTCAATTGCTTAATGATTGGCTTTATTTATGAAGTAAATCGGAAAATGCTAACTTTACTGCAAGTAATTAATTTTTGGTTAGCATAGAGTTGCCCGCATGAACATGGCACGAGGAATCGATTCCAACGAGTTCAAAAGCCCTGTCTTTGATGTCTCGCACGTGTCTAGACTCTAGAAGTGCCTACATGTGTGGCGTGTGGACAAGACATGACACGCAGTGACGATAGGGTGCAAGGCCCCAAAAAGAAAATCTTTTCTTACCAGCCAACCGAAACGAATACCAGCCAAGTGCGATATCCGTGAACCAAATTGGAACCAGCTGGTTTTTCGTGGAAAATTTCTATAGAAACCAAAAATTTCAACTGGTGAGAACAAGTGAATCGTTAGATTCGGACGGGTCCCGCACCGATTCCAAGCCGGCTGGGTCGCTGGTTCTTAAAACACTACATGAAATACAAGATTAACAGGATTAACAAATAAAGTCAAAGCAAATCTCACCGATTTTCCAAGACTTCAAAAATATGATGCACATCCAAACTCAAGAAAAAATATTGTATTGTGCAAATATTTTACAAACCCTCGAGTATTGTCCGAATTCTATTTAAATCTAGTCTAAGAATCAAATTTTCAATATGTGCTCAGTCCGAGAGCAAAATGACAATCTATATAAGACTTTCACAAAAGAGTATTTCACAAAATTTATGAGCATTTCGAGAACTCCACTAAATTCCATACTTAAAAACTAGAACCGGTACAGTCGGTCAAGATTGTTAGAATATAAGACATAAAACCTTTAAAACCTCGAATAAAAGTAACCAGGAAGCCAATTAACAAGTAATTTCCATTGGTACAAGAGGGTCAGAGTGATCTATGTAGCCATTATAAAGATACAAGAAGATTGAAGATTTCAGTTTTGAAAAGAACCATTTAGTCCTTAGTTTTCAGAACCATACTCTTACAATCATAGGTTCATACATGTTAACAGTTGAATGAGATAAAGCCAAACCTTATCTCTTCCGCTTCAGAGTCTTCAGCTGCTTAATAAGATGGTGGACCACCTCTTGCAAGGTGGCTCTCCTCCCTTCCTTGAAATTCCAGAGGTCCCACACTGGATATCTACCACTAGGGTTATACTCATTAAGTTCTAGCATCGCTCTTTCCACAGCCTTGAAAGCTTCATCCCCATATTCATCTCTGAATTCTTTCAACTTTTCATCATTTTCATCAATGACTTCCTGCACCATCACCAGAATTTGCCAGGATACCAGAGGAGTGAACAAAAAACTTTCATCAAGATCTCTAGAAGCTAGAGAAGTCAAAATATACGGAATGAATGAGAATTTGTACAGCAAAGTTCAGCACTACGAGGCAGGCAATAAAATACCATGTCTCGAAAAGATTGTAGATTCACATGGGAGGAATAAAGAACATGATAGTTTGGGTTAAGAGTGGAAACTCCTTAATCGTAGCCAGATATCTTCTCTGATTGGGATTTACTTTAGCATATACCAAATTTTCAGTTGAATAAATGCATCTTTTAGCTCATTTTTCTGAGGTTAATAACCATAGCCAAGCATCAACCATTCCATTTAAAAGAATCAAAGGACTGCACAATTTTGAGTCGGTTTAGTATTCATTGGCGTAAATCTTAACTGGGAGGTACTGCCACTGAAGATGCAATGTTTTATGACG